AAAGGCTGGCCAATCCTCACGAGAGCTGAGAAGCGCTTCGACTGGACTTAATGTAAGGGGGGAGTTGATGTGTACACTAAATTATATGCGCTTTGGTATTTTAATAAAATGCCAAATGCGAGTAACGTACCTTCGGGAAAGTTGGAGTGCTTTTATTGACGCAACTGGCATTTTGAAATGCGCATGGCTGAAAAACAACGACGTGGGGGTCCAAAATGTGAATCGTTGGATTCACAGGGCCACGTCCACGTTTCTCATTGTGAACGCGGCGCTGCATTTGCACGTCTGCGTGTCGACGCGCACCTATCTACGCTGGCAATAACGCGTCACGTTGTTGGGCTAAATTGAACATTTTAGCAAATCAAAAAAGTAAAACATTCACCTTTGCATCGATACGATCCGCCGTATCGAATATTGAATGACATTTTCGTGAGAACACTTTAAGCAACTAATAGGCGCGTATAGAGTTTACGAACAAATGGCACGAGGCTTTCAGTAACCGTAACCTTCGGGCTCGCTTTCGCGTCTGAGCCTGCAACTTGCGCATTGATGCATTGCATCTGCAATTTTCACTGTACACCGCTGGGATTTGAAGATGTGGCGAACGATAGAGCGAAGTTTTCCAATATTAATCAAACGTGCTGTAACAAAATACAAGGCCGTCGGCTTTCGTTTTTTTTTCTTTCTTCGCGGCAGGCGAGTTTGCGTGTTGTCTAGATAGTGCACAGTCGCACATGGTCCCCTAATTGACCACCCGTTCCACCCCATTTGCAATTCTGCGATCGCATTTTGTGACAAAGACCATATCTCCCTGGGCCATCAATAGCGCTGCGGCAGCTCGTGGGTATTCCCACGAGCTGGCAGCTCCCGTTATAGCCAGAGCCACTTACACACATTTTAAACATTAGTTTAACAACAGGTAAGATTCCATCAGATTTCAAAATGGCTTTAATCACTCCCATACACAAATCTGGTGACTCCTATAACCCTGACAATTTTGAGGCCAATTTCAATGCTTTCCCCGTGCCAGTGAAATCCAAGCGAAAATCGTGGCAAAACACTCCTGACATTTTCTAAATGAACATGCCCCCCTTCTGTCAAACGTGGGTTTGTTTATTCTTAATACCACGGTGGCAGCGGCATCCGCAACTGTTTCAATGAACCCAGTTTGGTCGGAGGGTTCGAAATTTCGGTCCGGGACACAGAATCTGTCTCACCGCGCACTCCAAGTTTCCTTGTAAAAGCAAAAAAGTATTAACACTTCAGTTCCGTTCCTCGTGTCTACAGCTCCTCGACGTTATATTGTGACCAGCATAATACCCGACGGAGTCTTCCACTTCCGAGCGACTTTCGCCACTTGATGGACGTATATCAGTATGCAGCAAGGTATACAACTGTCAGCAGTAGCAGAACACGCGTGCCAACAAGGACACTCAATTGATTTTGAAGTTAAAGTTATGTGCACAACTAGCTACTACTGGTCAAGACTAATTAGAGAATCTATCGAAATTTAAAGAAATAAAAATAATTTTAACCGTTCTGATAGCTAACGCCTTAGTGCTGCGTGGAAGCGAATCATCAAATAATACATTGTTTAAATGTATGCCTATGAAGGGCAGCATACTTCAAAAGGGATTACCGTTCGCAAGGCTATTTGAATACGCACAATAGACAGGAAGGACAAGTTCAAAGGCGTCGTATAATGTACATGCATAAATGTACGTTGACTCAGTAATTCCCCCCCCCCCCCCCCAATTTGCACAAGACCGCAGAAGCGTGGTCACCACATATACGCCTCTATATAAGGAACGAAACAGTTAGACTTCTACACAAATCTGGCTGTCGCCTGATGAGGCTAGTTGTAATTACTGGCGAAACGTCGTACTCAGATTGTAAATGTTGTGGCTTGGCTCTTCAACACACCGGTGTGCTGTACTAGTGACGAATTGGCATGTTCTCTTTACGTGGCAACCCTTACGAGTTGGGTGTGTCGGGTGGTGGTGGGTTGTAACGACACATTTATATATTCACGGGATCTAGCACAAAACAACCTCTATTAAGTATGCAGCAAGATCATTTCCAATCATAACTCTCACATGACCCCAAGTATTATATCAGTCTAGTGTCGTCTATAGCCTAATTCAATAAGTCAAATGACTTCAGGGCTAAAAACAAGCATCGAGCTGGGCTCATGTGCTCAAAGTACATTGTGCAGCCCTTTTGACCGTCCGCTGGTGGATAGGGGCCACCCCTGGTTGTGCGGGATGTGGAGGTCATTTGGCCACACCACGCTGGTCAGCGCGGGTTGAAAGCGGACAGCACAGACGTGGGAGCATAGAAATAAAGTAGGATGGGTATTTTGATTTAAAGTTTTCGTAACTGCAGGGATTCATATTCTTGGTTCTTTCGGTAAAGTCACGTAGAAGGGAAACAATAAAATTGTTTGAAACAATAAAATTGTTTTATTATTTTATTGTTTCCTTTCTACGTGACTTTACCGAAAGAACCAAGAATAAAGGATGGGTATTGTTTCACTACAGCTTGCTTCCCATCATGTAGCCCTATTTGAGTACTGTATATATATAGTTGAATATTGATTTACACTGCGTTTCAGCATACCCCATCTTCCTGACGTGCTTGTTTTTCAATTCACTCCTACAGGTGGCCTTGCCCAATGTCGATTCATTATTGCTATCGAAACGCAACATTTGTGCCGACAGAAAGCAACACACACACCCATATTATTCTTATTTATCCAATTATGCACAGTCTAGGAACACGTTTTCCCAGAGTGGTGGAACTTCCTCGGAGTAAGGTTTGACCGACAAAAAACGGTTGGTCTGGAAAAAAAAACACTTGTAAAGTTATGAATATGATTCACGCACAACGTCGAACGAAGCTCTTGGCCTTCTCGCGCGCGTGGAAAGGTTCTCACAAGGCCCTCTTGGCAGGTGATGAGCCTCTGCGTCTGTAAAATGCAGGGCCACGTTGCTCGCTGCCAAACGCAGACATTTCAACGAAAGAACAAATGCAAGGAAATCTTGATTGCTCTCCAGAAGACGTTCAAGGGACTGGTGGTGTTCGCGGTCCAAAAGTCTGTACCAAGGAGCTTGGCTTGTAAATTTTGTGCGTGTAGGTTGTGTTATTAAAGGTACCCACTTGAGACCACAAGAACATGTGTGTGGTGACATGATCTCGTAGCTTAAATGTGTTTTTTGAAAATATATTTTTTAATGATCATCAAACGCGATGTTAAGTACTGGTAAAGAATGTAGCGTAGCAAGTGGTGGACGGTGGTAACGTATCATCCCCAACACTCGATCTTAAGCAATAGCGTTTGCTTGTTTCAGGAGCTACACTTGGCACACCACTGACTCATCGGGATCAAAGACAGGGAAGAGCACCAGCTCATAAATATTACAGTCGAGTACTCTATTTCTCAATTGAATCTCTGTACAGGTACGGCACAGTAACATTTCTGGGATAAGAAAAGCGATAACAGAGCGAACGACGCTACACCAGTTAGCACACTGTGCTACGTTACGGGTGGCCAGTGTTCGATTCCCGGCTACGGTTAACGTCTCTCAAATGATCATGCCTCTTAATCCACATCCACCCGGGAATGACCAGCGTGGTTAAACATGGTCAAATAACCCCCACGGCTAAGGTTGCCACCTATTCGGGTTTGACGGTGGCACGTGTTTGGGTGACAGGAACTGTCCCGAGATTTGGTACGGGTAATACAGTCAACAGCAGTTTTGATAGACCTGTGTTAATTGATAATGTTCCGATTTGGTCTGTATAGAAGGTGGTAACCCTACCCACCACCGACGTCATGGGGAGAGCGTCGCACAGCAGCGGATGGACACAGGAGCCGTACAGTATTTAAATACAGGACACTATTTGGTGATACTTCGTTGGCAGTGGTGCATAATAACAATCTATGACTACCTCGCCTGATATACAGGAGATCGTGGGTTCGATCCCGACCCTGACGCCTGCTGCTGCTGTATATTTGGGGTTTGTGATGTCTCTCCCCACAGTCGCGTGGATTTTTACTCCGAATCCTCCGGTTTTTACCTACACATTTAGAATCAACGTCACGCGTTCAGAGTATTTGGCTGATATACATTTCCACGTGATAAGCCACTTCGTTGGCGGTGGCCTCGGACAACACGTGTCGCCCACGTTGACCTCGGACACACTTGTCGGCAATGCCAGATTAAGCCAGTGTGGGGCCTGTAGCATATTATATAAAGGGGCCCTAAATAAAAAAAAAAACTGAAATATTGAAACACAACATTTTAACTTGCATAGTAAAGTAATTGTATTTTTTCATCTGCTATACAGCCAAATACGACAAATCGCTAACCTTAAATACCCAGTCGTTCATAAAAGTTGAAGGCAGTATAGTACTATAGTAATAGAGCAAGTGCAGAATCACTGAACCGGAATTGATAGCTTGAAAGCATTTAGTGTGGGGCCCTTGAAAGTGCGGGGCCCGTAGCAATTGTAGCTACTTTTGCTATTCGGATAATCCGGCACTGCGTGTCGGTTACGTTGGCCTTGGACAAAACGTGTCGGTGACCTCGGGCAACACGTGTCGGTGACCTCTGACAACACGTGTCGGTGACCTCAGACAAAACGTGTCGGTGACCTCGGGCAACACGTTTCGGTCACGTTGGCCTCGGACAACACGTGTCGGTGACCTCTGACAACACGTGTCGGTGGCCTCTGACAACACGTGTCGGTCACGTTGGCCTTGGACAACACGTGTCGGTGACCTCTGACAACACGTGTCGGTCACGTTGGCCTTGGACAACACGTGTCGGTGACCTCTGACAACACGTGTCGGTCACGTTGGCCTTGGACAACACGTGTCGGTGGCCTCTGACAACACGTGTCGGTGATATCTGACAATACGTGTCGGTGATCTCGGACAACACGTGTCGCGCCACGTGCGTGACATGAGCCGTGACCTCTAGCCAGCTCGGCCGTGACCCGGAAGGTAAACCCACGGTTGCCAGGCAACGCGAGGACGCCGCGGGAGTGCGTCACGCAGGTCGGCGCGCGTGGATTTCCCCTCTCGCGAGGTATTTAATTCGTATTTGTACTTTGTGTGTTGATTTTTTAATTACTAATTTCGCTCAGGTGCCAACAAACGACCAGAGTGATAATACTGCCGTGCAATAAGCGCGGTGGACCGGGTGCGATGGTGTCTTCATAAGGGGCAACCTATATTCTTCGGGTCTTTCGGTAAAGTCACGGAGATGAGTTCAAATAAACTATCAAATAACCGATCTACGTGACTTTACCGAAAGACACAAAGAATATGAATTCCTGCAGTCACGAAAGCTTTAAGTCAAGATTTAAGGGGGCAACCTGTTTGTTGTTGTTGTTAATTATAGTGGTGGATTATCTTACCCGAGTTTACTGATACGGCTGCATTACGGCTGTAACTAATGAGAATCTCTCCACTCCGTTGTCAGTGTTGCGTGTTCCGATTTCGTTTGTTTCCTGCGCGGCACCACGTGGCGAGAGAGGCGACCCGCGTGGCTGCCTGTAACCCCCCCCCCCTCCCCAAGCACTGAGGTAGCGAGGGTTGGCGGTTCACGCACGGACGTTGTGATTTACAAAACTTAAAACTCGATTCTTTAAAATGTTATACTGGTAGGAACCTCCTGGTTACTACACCACCAGCCCACAGGGGATTATTGTGTCCGTCCGTCGTGCATCCAAACATGCGAGGGGAGGGGCTGGGCGGGGAGAGGAGGGTGGGGAGGGGCTGGGTGGGGAGGGTGGGGCTGGGTGGGGAGAGGAGGGTGGGGCTGGGTGGGGCTGGATGGGGAGGGGCTGGTCACCCCGTGGTGCCCTTATAAAACTCAACGTTTAACCTACTTACGCCGGCTTGTGCCCGCCCTCACAGTCGGGCATATTGTGTGGAATGCACCACGTGGTGGTGCCGCCGTTGACCCTGGCCATTGAACGAGCAACCCAACGTTCCTACCAGCTCCCTCCGCAGGAGAATGTGTTTTTGTGTTTAGCTGTCCTAACACTCCACCCACCCACCGTCCGCACCTCCGATGAGCACGGTTGGCTACGTACGGTGCGAAAGAAGTGAAGCATACTGGACACAATATAGTTTTTTTGGGTTAGATCACGTGACTATAAGTGTGTCGTTAAATCCCTCACCACCCGACACAGCCAAATAGTATGGTTTGGCACGTAAACAGAAAATGCCAATTAGTTACTAGTACAGCAACACCGTACAAGTAACGACATTTATATTCACACCATCGAACAAAAACATCTATATTATGCATGATATTGGTCGCAAAAGCCAATGTGTTAAACATACTGTAGACACATTCCATGGGAGTCGAGTAGGTTGCCATACCTTGGCTCACCGGGAGAAGGCGATACAGTGAGTGGTCTAATCGCCATCTGTTTCCGTCCGTACAGGGGATGCAGCGTTGCCCCCTTGCTTGGGCGCTGGTTTTCTCCGGGTGCTCCGGTTACCTCTCACGTGTATAATAATAATGACAACACTCGTCATGAATTGGCTGAAAACATGTTAAAATTAAAAAAAGCCCAATGTAGCAGCAGGATCCTCCTGAAAATTAGTCATTCAACTCGGTGTGGCTTTTATGGATAAGTAAGTACATTATTACGATTCAATTATATTTTATTTATTTTACTTTTGTCATTTCGGTGACCCGGGACACTCTTGTACATAAGCATCTATCCTGGTCTCTGGAGTTCTCACCTGGGTAAACAATAAACTGTATACTTGAATCTTGGGTCTACTGCTGTCTGAAGGCCTTCCCATGCTGGGTCAGTGAATGGGGTTTGTTTGGCCATACTTCACCACGCTGGTCAGCACGAGTTGGTAAAGGGTAGGCTGGGTCTGTAAGGACCGGTTCAGATGTTATTCGCCACTCATGTTAGCCATGGCTGGGAAAATGAAACTCAGGTCACAAAGTTCATGTAGCATTACGATAACCACAGTTCATACAGCAGTGGATTAATCCGCCCTTTTACTCGTGCATTATTTAAATCTCGCCGCCTGCTGTGAGTTGTTTTCCAAAGTCAATGTGATGTCATTTTTATAGACGTTTACCATTGTGTGCCCATGTCCCCCAAGTCCGGCTGGCAATTAGTAAGTGTATTTCACCATTTGAGAACCCATTGACATATCACGTCTCTGGCAAGGGTTGATCTGGGTCAGATCTACAGAGCGTTTCCAATACACGCAACTTTCACGTATGCAAAATGTACGAAAACATACAGAAATCCCTCCAAAAACACATGAATGTTTAGTTATTTTAAAGAAGCTTTACTGACTGTTGTGTAATGGTTAGCACACTAGGACTTCAATCCAGTCTGATTAGTCCTCCCGGCACTGCAGTTGAAACAATATGGGCATGTTTCTTATATGTCCCTGCCTGGGGCTACCCGGCAGTATAAATGGATACACCACATTTGATCGACAGGCCGGATGTAGTGGGGTAAAGTGTGGGAACTCCTGTCTCTTCCAAGACGTCTGGCTTGCATGGAAGAGTAGGCCAAATACCCTCTAAGAGGGGTTGCCTAGCGCTCCCTCTAGTGAAGGTCTTCCACCAGCAGAGACATGACCAAGTAATTGCAGGGCTGCACCATTACTTATAATTTGAAGAACCTGGACAAATAGCATTCCAAGTTCGAAAACTGACCGCGACTCTAAATATTACTTTATATGTTATATATGTAGAGTATATTGAACTTATTTTGCAACGTAAGTAGCCAACCATGCAAATAGGACGTGCACATTTACGAACTATTCATACTTTTGGAAGTAAAATGCATAGGGGAAGACGGAAACCTAGGTGGATAGATTGAGTACTCAAAATATCTCAATTAAAAAATGTATTGCATATAAATTACGTAGTAGTTTTGGCTAAATGAAGACAACCACAGTGAACAATTTGTCACCCTATCGTTACGAGTGAGCTGTTGGAAGGTACAGGTGGTCAAAAAAAACGAAAGTGACTTCCTGCTCAATAAACATTGAGGCAGTGCTCATAGTAAGTCGAACATTTGTTATTGCACACTGTTTCAGCCCTGAGCCAGTGATGGAAATCCCACATTCCTATGGCGAGAGGCAGGTATCTTCATTGGACAACCGCTCTTGACTTATTCACCAACATGGGACTAATTTCTTATCGAGCCTGGAGGAATGATGAGCTGAGCCAACACCCGTCCAGGATTTGAACTCGCAAATCTTCCAATTTCGAGCCACTCGCGCCCACCGCTGAGCCACCAAGATTGGGTGATGATGATTACCTTTGTAATATTTGTCCAGGTCTCACTTGCAATATAGGCATAGCGCTCAACGGGATCTCAATAACAACTTCAGTTGAAAATACGGTATTTTTCAGAAACTGTACGTCCTCTGGACAGAGGCATACAATGCCACACTCATGATGTCATAGGGTTCATCTCTTAACATCATCCCATTTAACACGCAGAATGGGGTTTGCATAGCGATGACATCAGCTTGGCGAAGGTGAAAAATATAGGATTACAGATGAATGGATTTCAAAAGAAAACTATTTTCTCACATTGCTGATAAAAAGCACAATAGAACAATAAGAGAACGGAACATGTGGAGTACATTACAGCATATGGCGTGTTGTGTATAATCTAATGCCACATTTAATGTAACATTTTAGTATATGCAAACACACTTAATGCCCTACAATTTAATAAAAATGTATATGCACTGAATTGCGAGGGACGTTAGTTGTTGTGCAACGCTTGAAGAATCCTTCATGCGTCATCGTGGAAATTAACTTTTTGAAAGCGTCATGTAAATTGCACAACGTTGCACAATCAGTTTTTAAAAAAAAATCAGTTTCTTTATTGAGTATTCCTGTGACAAATAATATCTTAATATGGTATGCCGATGTGGGTTTTTTTTACTGTAAATCTATTGTAAATCTATTGGTTTTTGCGGTACTTGTAGTTTGAGTGCCAATAAAAAAAACATTGTGAGGCCTTGGTGTCTCATTTATGGGAAAATAAAGCAATGTCATGTGGGTAAGTAACTTGTGTACATCCAACCAAATGTTACAAAACCACTAATGACATGAAAACATAGTCTTTAAACCCCCAAGTATTAACGATAGATATGTGAGTGTATGTTAACGTCAAATACATTGTTTTTTCACGGCAATAAAAGTCAGTGGCCTTGGGCAGGACATGCTTCTAGAAAGGACGATGATCCATGGTCGAGGTGAATGCATGGACTCCTAGCCAATGAAAGGAAGACGCAAGATCGAGTAATGAAATCATCTTGTGTGCTGATGTTTGGTGGATCGTTCAATCGTGGATCTTTGAGAGATGAAGGCAGCTTTGAGGAGGCCTTCATCTAGAAGTGGATTAATCGTGGCCAGGCCGGCCGGAAAGATGATAACAAATCTGACTTGTAGTGCCCTGAATGATTGTACGTATATGTAGATCAACTTGCTGCTGGTGCTGTGTCACTTGATGTCTTCGCAAGCTGGGGTCGATGGGCGGCGAGGAGATTGCAGCTTCCCCGAGCCGCTGCCTGGGCCCCCGGCTACGGCCGAGGAATTCCTTCGACCCCAAAAGCTGGTGCGGTGGCGTTGTGAGCCCTTGCCTTCTGCTTTTTTTGTGCTTTTTCTTCTTCTTTTTCTCCTCCTTCCAAAAAAAAGATCAAATTACAGAGCGCGGCCTGATGGGATGCTCTGTAATTTTGCGGGGTAAGTGATACTTTGTCAAAGGACTAATTACTGAACAATAAAAACATCAAAGAAATGGTTATTTTGCGCCTGCTAGGAAAAAATGTAGGAGTGTTTGTTTTTAAAATAGTGATAAGAAAATTACAGACTCCTCTTTTTTATCTATAGTACACACTAATACAGCAATCGCTCTGCTCATATTACATTACAGTCTTGTGTTACACATTGTACAGGTTAGGCATGCGATTCAACTTGTGAACTGCGGAGCCAGTGTTACAAATATATTAATACTGCAGTGTTTCTGTGAACTCCACACTTTGAAGTAACTCACAAAGAAAGCCGTTGAGGTTTAGTATACCGCATTACAACCTCGAATTATCAAAGCTAACCCACCAAAGTTAATCCAACAGGCTTGCTGATTCCAATAATATCAAATTACTGGTCAGATATATTATTTTCAGTTGGTGAAGTTGTGGGACTATTTTGTCACTATCATCGTCCACAGGAAAAAAAAAGATGTTTGTCATTTTGTGCTATGGTATCAGTGGTTGTATATCCTAGCAGGTATCATGGGCCACTGAAATATTTTACACACACGGTCCAGAAGTTTTAACTTGCAATAAGTACACGTTGCAGTTCGCCCTAGCTTGAATATGATGTCATTTTCAGGAGTAGGCCATTGCGGTTTTATGTCAGCACAAATTCCAAACCTGGAAGTAATTTGCAACTAAATGACAAAAAAAACAAAAAAAATATTCCTCTTAATGCACGGATACATAATTGTCCTTTGCCAACGGTATTTGTCTGACGGAGTCTTTTTTTACTTGATTAATAAAGCACAATAAAACACAATGTGATATTACATGGCATTTTATTGGCAGAAATTAAATTACAATTCATAGCAAAGAAAATGCAATAATATAACCCATTTGAAAATGCTGCATCTACTCGCGGCAGGAGAACTGGCCTCGTGCGGTCACGTGGGACACGGCTCTTCGGCTGGACAGTCCGTTTGGCATGGAGGAGGACAGCGCGGACGAGAACCTTCGTGCCGCTGCACCCTTGGACTTGGTCCCCCTGGAGCGGCTCGAGGAGAGGGCGAGTCGCCTGGCCTGCGAGCTGCGCCTCTTAGTCGACAAGGTCCTGCTGCACTCGACGGAAGACCAGCAGCAGCAGCGGCGGTGGCCCAAAACCCAAGACGCCGCAGCGTGCGGAGTTGGCAGTAAGGCTCAAAGCTGTATTGATTCGGACGGCTGTTACAGCCGCAGAAGCAAGCGTCGCCAAATTGTATTGTATGAAATGCTCAGTTGTGGATGAGCCAAACTAGAATATTGTTATTGGTTTGCAGAGTCGGGGCAATATATTCACTGTAGTTGTCCTTGATCCACATGAATGTATTTTTTCATGTATACTTGCCATATATATGCAGTTGATTGCTTTTGACACAACCTTCCAGTATTTCATTCTTGCATGCTTTTGTATTGTCGGGATTATTAAAAGATATGGTATGAAATGCATAACTTGTACCAATGTTATTACACCTTCTGTCATTCTTCCACAGCTTTTATTGCACAGACAGATGAATGTGATGATGTTTGGTCTCACAAGGACAACGAACTTACTCGAATACAGGTGTGCTGTTAAGTTTCAGTTATTTAAATAGGATGGATGTGTTATTATTTGCATGCTTATACATACAGCGTTTAAAGATTCTGTCTAAATGGGCTTGGACAACTATATTATTGCACCTCACCTGATATCTTCTCAGGACTGCAGCTTACCTGAATTTCTAGGTTCTGATGCGGTGGCTGATCTGCCACAGAGTCTGGATCTTGGACACTTGTTGGAGAATTGCTTTGATGCACAAGCATTTCAGGTCCATACCTACACCAGCGCAACAACAATGATGTTAAGAATATACCAGAAATACAATTGTAGCATGCATTTGCATGTTTATGCTAGGTGAGTTGAGTATATATATATTTTGAGACTGGGTGGTTTGTTGTCTTACGTGGTATAATAAATGCAGTTGCACTAATAAATATTCCAAGTGTTGCATATATTTTGGGATATCTGCGATGTTTAATTCGTGCATTTTTTATTTATATTTTTAATGCACAGCACTTAAATCTCCCCCTTATTTTCTATCAATTGTAAGGGATGCGTAAGTACGTATACATACCACGCGTATGGCCTTGCTATACAGTAAACAAGTACAGTGAGGGAAAAAAGTATTTGATCCCCTGCTGATTTTGTGCGTTTGCCCACTGACAAAGAAATGATCAGTCTATAATTTTAATGGTAGGTTTATTTGAACAGTGAGAGACAGAATAACAACAAAATCCAGAAAAACGCATGTCAAAAATGTTATAAATTGATTTGCATTTTAATGAGGGAAATAAGTATTTGACCCCCTCTCAATCAGAAAGATTTCTGGCTCCCAGGTATCTTTTATACAGGTAACGAACTGATGATTAGGAGCACACTTTTAAAGGGAGTGCTCCTAATCTCAGCTTGTTACCTGTATAAAAGACACCTGTGCACAGAAGCAATCAATCAATCAGATTCCAAACTCTCCACCATGGCCAAGACCAAAGAGCTCTCCAAGGATGTCAGGGACAAGATTGTAGACCTACACAAGGCTGGAATGGGCTACAAGACCATTGCCAAGCAGCTTGGTGAGAAGGTGGCAACAGTTGGTGCGATTATTCGCAAATGGAAGAAACACAAAATAACTGTCAATCTCCCTCGGCCTGGGGCTCCATGCAAGATCTCACCTCGTGGAGTTGCAATGATCATGAGAACGGTGATGAATCAGCCCAGAACTACACGGGAGGATCTTGTCAATGATCTCGAGGAAGCTGGGATCATAGTGACCAAGAAAACAATTGGTAACACACTACGCTGTGAAGGACTGAAATCCTGCAGCGCCCGCAAGGTCCCCCTGCTCAAGAAAGCACATATACATGCCCGTCTGAAGTTTGCCAATGAACATCTGAATGATTCAGAGGACAACTGGGTGAAAGTGTTGTGGTCAGATGAGACCAAAATGGAGCTCTTTGGCATCAACTCAACTCGCCGTGTTTGGAGGAGGAGGAATGCTGCCTATGACCCCAAGAACACCATCCCCACCGTCAAACATGGAGGTGGAAACATTATGCTTTGGGGGTGTTTTTCTGCTAAAGGGACAGGACAACTTCACCGCATCAAAGGGACGATGGACGGGGCCATGTACCGTCAAATCTTGGGTGAGAACCTCCTTCCCTCAGCCAGGCATTGAAAATGGGTCGTGGATGGGTATTCCAGCATGACAATGACCCAAAACACACGGCCAAGGCAACAAAGTAGTGGCTCAAGAAGAAGCACATTAAGGTCCTGGAGTGGCCTAGCCAGTCTCCAGACCTTAGAAAATCTGTGGAGGGAGCTGAAGGTTCGCGTTACCAAATGCCAGCCTCGAAACCTTAATGACTTGGAGAAGATCTGCAAAGAGGAGTGGGACAAAATCCCTCCGGAGATGTGTGCAAACCTGGTGGCCAACTGCAAGAAACGTCTGACCTCTGTGATTACCAACAAGGGTTTTGCCACCAAGTACTAAGTCATGTTTTGCAGAGGGGTCAAATACTTATTTCCCTCATTGAAATGCAAATCAATTCATACAATTTTGACGTGCGTTTTTCTGGATTTTGTTATTCTGTCTCTCACTGTTCAAACAAACCTACCATTAAAATTATAGACTGATCATTTCTTTGTCAGTGGGCAAACGTACAAAATCAGCAGGGGATCAAATACTTTTTTCCCTCACTGTATACCTGTCACACCAAAATAAGATGCAATTCTGAAGCCAGTGCAACTGTGCACTTTTCAATCATGAAGATCGAAAACTAATTTCTTCCGAACTGATTTTTTGCATTTAGTTTGTTGTCTTTCCCCTGCACCTCCGATTAGCACGATCGGTTACATGCGGTGCGGAAGAAGTTCAACACACGTACATATTCACTTGATCCTGTGCAATTGAGGTTGTGGTGTTTTAATAATGCGAATAATACAGCAACATTTCAAGTTCGTTATTTGTTTTTTTTTTCTCTTCCGTCTCAGCCCCGTCGGCATTGGAAACAACTTTTCACGTCGGGGTCTTCGCTTGCCATCGTTCGGGATACCTTTTGGTGGATTTTTCTCAGCCGTTACAAGGGTGGTGTGAGTGCAAAAGAAATCTGGCAGCGCAGCACAACTTCACCTTTTTTTCACCGATGTCATCGTGCTGAGGATTTTTTTTTTGCGTGCACCATTTTTCAAGAGCTGCTATACGTCTCCCACTAAAGTAAATAAACTCTGTTCTTTGTAGGCACTCCGCGGTATACTTTTCTCTTGGGAGCAAATACGAATGTGTTGAATGCGATGAGCAGAAGTGTCTATTGTCGTCCGTTATCGTCGTTGGAGCATTCTTCGTTGTCATCATCGTCAGGCAGAAACACAATCCTCTCGGTGTTGCATAAATTGCATACAGAGATGCAGGGTAATCTTTCCCAGGACATCTTGTGTAAGTTGGGATGCCAATAAAGAAGCGAGAGCTTATGGCACGCACATGTCCACGCATTTATTGCATCTGAGTGATGATCTCAATGAACCCTTATTATGTACAGACAATGAGCTGTGTTCTCCGAGCAAGCCAGTTTAAATAAATTCGTTTCAAATGCCACCAAGCAAACCGAGAGAAGAGTAAAACATACGAAGTTTTGTGTGCTTTTAACATCGCCACGCTTCATATTGTCGTGTGAAGTTGCATAAACTCGCTCACTCGTGCGTGTGTATTAGCGGAGATGAGCTCACCTTTTAAGTATGGATGCTTTTGTCCCCCCCCTCCCCCCCCAGTGCAACCAAACCCCACTTAAGAGTTATTAAATGCAAATATTTCTCTCAACATTCAGACCGACAAAATAATCGTCTAATTGCCTGCTCTCCCCTTTGATCTTCTCTCGTTGCAGGCCAATCAAGAGCTCGAGGACCATTTGTATGACAGAGTAGCGAAGAGCTTTGTGTCCCTGCTCCTAAGTACTCCGCCGCACAACATTAATAATAAGGATAAGTTCTTGCAGGTGACGTCGCACGCCCTGATACATTGGCATCATGTACAGTGTTGCAATTACTACGGAGAGAAAAAAATGCCTCGCAATTTTGTAAACCGCATTTAGAACGGGCCAGTTCCTGTGATGTTTATTGCCGATTTGCCGATACAGGAGCAGAAATTCGCTTTAAAGATGCACAACTTTTGAACACGCATGAAGCGGCCATGATTGTGTACTTTTAAAAAGATATATATATATTTTCGTACATTGATGTTCTTCTTTAACCGGGTGAAGTGTTTCCCCAATAGCAATATACTTTTACGTAAAAACAATTTGACGTGACCCCTGGAGTAGGTCTTGACACCTCATGACACGGGCATGAACTGTCGAATGATGCAATTGTTTTCACTCAGGCGTATGTGGAGTGGCTGGCTCAGGTGCTTTATGGTGCATTTGTCAAGGCATTTCCTGCCTCCCGCCTCCAGTTTGGGGATGACTTTAAAGCTGAGCTTGCCAACCTCACCTCACTCTGGATTTGCGGTGAGTTACCGCCCAATTTCAAACACTGTAAAAGAGTGTGTGTGCGACACGTGTGTGCGACACGTGTGTGCACGTGTGTAGCACGTGTGTACACGTGCAGCCCTTTTTGTCAATGCACTGCCGAGCGGGTCCTGGGTGTTATTTGACCATTCTTTGCTGTGCCCGTCGGTGCGAAGAGCATTGCCCTTTCTTCATTCGTATGACTGATCTAGATGCAGAGCAACAACTACATATGGATGTATGCAAGTTAAACTTCTTTCGCACTGTACATAGCCAACTGTGCTAATCGGAGGTGCGGGACAATTCCATAGCCCCAGGAACATAGAAGTAGAGTACAACAATGGCATTGCTGCCACTATCATTTACTGCGAACCACTGTAGCCCCACAGCATATGGCAACCTGTTGTACACGGTGGTCACCAATCCAAGCACTATTCAGGCTCAGGCCTACTTAGCTTCCAATATTTATATACAGTATGTGTAAAAAGGGGAATGAGAATAGAATGAGCTACTTAAAAATGTCACCTTGACATTGTTAGGATGTGTTTGAATGACACATCGCTAGACGGGATGATGGTTGATGGATAAGACCGATAGTGTAGTGGCAGCCAAAAGTGGGAACGTGCCCTCAAGCATGACTCCGCAGAGATGGAGTGATGGGATCATCTCAGACGCGGGAGTGAGATGGATTTTGACATCGCAGGACCACGAGGGATGGTGACGACTTGAGGTTTTCTTTCAGCATTGGGTAGCTCATGATGGTTTATGGTGAGAAATAATGTTATTCATACTGCACCATGGTTAAATTAAATGTTAAATGACTTGAATTATTAACTGATACAGCATTAAATTTCGATTGAAAGCTTTCGTGACTGCAGGGATTCATATTCTTGGTTCTTTCGGTAAAGTCACATAGAAGGGAAATAATAAAATAATAAATGTTATTTGTATTATTTTCCTTCTACGTGACTTTACCGAAAGAACCAAGAATATGATACAGCATTTACCATGAAAATAACACACATTCTAAAACGATGCCATTTAATGTGAAACTATTATTTGTGCAATGTTTCATTATCATTGTAACAATAGAAAATACAATATTTTTTTGCTTTTAGTAAAAAATAGATATTCAGTCATCCCTGATCAACATTCATTGGGGTGCTACAGTGGCGAGATATGAACTCCCTCACCTTGTATACAAGAGGTTGTGGGTTTCATCCCGACCCTGACACCTGTATATTTGGAGTCTACATGTTCTCCCTCTGGTCGCGTGGATTTTTCTCCGGGTCCTCCGGTTTTTCACTCAACATTTAGAATCAACGTGCCTTCAGAGTACCGTTAAGCTGTCATTTGTGGCCAGGTCGCTTCTGAAATAGAGCTACATAGCTCAGTGGGCTTTACATCGTACAATAAAAAAATGGTTTCGTTTCATTTTTTTGGCTTTATCAATGGCCATTTTGAGGACATCAGAACAATGTGTGCAATGGAAGCATGAGCAGTTCAGGGACATTTATTGCCCAGTGTACAACGTGCGACGTTGTTCTTATGATGGGTGGCTTTCTGGTAGGAATTCAAGCCAAGCCACTGTCGTGGAAGACATGGGACCTGTCTTGGCTTGGAGAATCTCTGAAAACGGCACAGAAAACCCCTACAGGTGAAAGGCAACGAGCAGATGCGGTCTTGGAAATCAGCCATCTGCATGACAACTGTGAGTATCACCAAATGTACCGTGGGTATTTTGAAGTATTCACGACGTTGACCCACTATGCTAATTAACCATAAATATTAAACTTTGTATTGCGTGCGGTACATATATACAGTTCGGAGCCAAAGTTAATAAACTGTGACCATATGTTTGTCAACTCAGCTTTTGTGGCTTTATAGAAATCATGGCATAGTTTTATTTGATGTTTTAGTAACTACAGTCAAGTGCGTTTTAAATCGTTGTTAAAATATACGTGCATAGATATCTTTATGTCTGAGGGAACGTCCACCGGGTAGATGGAGTAATGAAATCGGCTCGTGTGCAGGTGCTCGGTGACATTGTGACATTGCAGGATCATGAATTGGTGATGGCTTGGGGAGGCCCTCATCTAGCATTAGATTGATCATGCATGATGATGATGATATATATGTTATATAATAGATATATATGTGACTGCCACGTAGACATAATGTTTCTTCACCCGTAGACTTGATTCATGGAAGGTGTGTGCCTCAAACTTAATTGGCAGGGGTCAAAGTAATATAAAGTATATCGGAAGCCATTAACATTTTTGAAGTTAAATTACTCGCATGCATTTTGTGAAGTTTAAGTATTAAATGTCCTTGTGGTGGGCTGTTTGCAATCTGTGAGGCCGTAATTGCATGTGATGTGGTTGGATCTGCCTGCAGTGCAGTGAACATGTTTACTGGGTGCTGGGGTCCTGTCACCACAGCACTGGGAGGGATCGGGACATCTGCTTTGTGTCAGCAAACCGCCTTACGATGGAAACGTTGTCCCGTGCTTTTTGTTCATTTGGTGGGATGACAACAGCAATTTTAAAGAGAACATTTTTTATATTAATATGCAGTTGTCAGATGAAATTGTTACAACTATTTTCATTATCATCCGTAGGAACAGAAACAGCTGGCCGCAGCAGTTGTGCTTGAAAGTGCGTTGAGCAGATTCCTAAGACTGGGTGTATTCTGGTGGAAATGTGGCATTTTTTTGTGGTCTGTATTAAGCAGAATTTTGGTTCTTGTCCAATGTGTTAAGTTTGCTTTGTGAAAAAAGAACATATAACACAGACATACGGGTCATTGTTGAGTGTGTCCATTTGTATAAGATCATTCATAACCATTGTATCCTTCTTCTAGAAACGTATTTACAGGAGCCACATTAAGATGTTGTATTGTTTAGTAAACATGTACGTATAGTGGCATATATCCATGTATGTATGACTTATACTGTACATTTATTGTACTATATACAGCACACATTCAGTAAGTAAATATACATTATTGACAAAGTAGATGCATTGCTGAAATGATCCTCTCTATACAGCATGTAAATAGGGTACTCTCTGTGTGCGTATGTACAAATGGCATCGCCATCGTAAGTGTATACGTTGTATAACTGCAGCGCAGTGTGTATGCAGTGAATACACTAAATAGTGCTGCCCTGTGCACACTCAAAGGAAATCATACACGGGCTTAGAGTACGTAGCTCGGGGACATGGCTAATTGTGTAGGGGGGCTTCTTTTTATGTTGTGACAAATTGGATGAATAAGTAAATGTGTGTCTTGTGGGGGCCGAGGGGTGGGAATGTTCAGGTTCAGTTGCTGGCAAGACTACAAAATGTACCTCTATTTCCTCTTATTAGTGTCACACATTTTTTTTTCCCCCCACATTGTGGTTTTTAGTTAAGTTGTTTGTCAGGTGAGGCTCTTATAACATCACAATTCCTCGTCCATACTTCTTCTCATTGTGTCATCGTTTCATTTTTTGTTTTCCCCGCAAAAAAAGGGTATGTGGAAAGGATTATGTATTTAATAGTTTTAATTCTGAAAGACGAGCTAGCCTTGAAGCGGTTTATATGGCAGAATTGCGCTAAGAAACTCACGTTAGTCAACACAGATGCCCGCACATGCCCACACACACAGCCACACTGGATAAATAATATGGATTGTATTTAGTACCATCACTGTAAAATGCGCGACTGTACGTTAAAAGTGGGATATTTAAAAGGAGTTAAATGTACCGTACTGTGCGATAGGCAGTGCTTTTTTGTTTTACTTGGCAGTTAATAATAACAATAATATACAACAATGTAAGCAATATTTCATCTACGTAACATTAACGTTTATTAGATTGTCAAATCTATGACAGTAAAAAGTGTAAAGCTTTTCTGATTTTTTTTTAAAGTGTACAGATTTTTAACAGTGATGCATCATACATAACATCCATAATATAGAAAAAAGATTAACTTAAATAAAAAGGCACATCTAAATTTAACATAACTTCAGAACATTTGACCATGTGGTAATTTATAATAAAATTAAACTTGGATTTTTTTTTATTAATTTTGAAAGTTGAGTTATTGATAAACATGAAATGTTACGTGCATTTTGGTAAGTAAATTATGTATGATAAAATAACAAATTTCCAGCATTACAAGTTTACAACATCCTTTGTCAATGTTACCTGGTCCCTATTTTATCTTGTGCTGCTTAGTGTTTATGTCATTGTGAGTTCCATCTTTCACTAAGCTATCTTTTCACCACTATACTGCACTGCCAGCTGATTTGAAGCACTACAATGGTATTGCCGCCTATTTGATAGGTCAAAAAAAGTCTTTTCAGCTTTTGCACACCATGGAGAGTCAACACACGTGTCCCGTAACAGCTCATTGACGTTGCGTCCGTGCGCCGTTCAGACTCGTCTTCATAACACTTTATGTCCGCAGTCTTCCAAGCGCTCGTACGTTAATGCCTTTGTGCTTTTGGAAGTGAACAGCAATCTTCCCCGTCCCTCCCTACAGAGGTCATCCAGTTCAGTTGCTTTTACTTTGATGTGCGCACCACCAATGCTTCCAGTTTCATTTTAGGCCTTCGGAGAATATTTGCGGAAAAGCATTTCTGGGGGACGTGTGCCTGGCGTGGAGGGGGGGGGGGGAGGGGGAGGGGGCGATCGGAGTGGGGGCTCGAGATTGGCAGGTGGGTACCATTGTTAGGGGGGTAAGGGGGCAAGGGGGGTGGGGGGTGGCACCCCCTAAGGCACAAGGATGGGCAGGAAGTGCGCCGAGAGGTGCTTCCGCCGCGTTTTGTGTCCCCGCCGAGGCGATCCTTTGCCGTTCAGGGCCACAAACATTTGCTTCCCATTTCGCTTCCACTTCACCGCGGCGTACGTGTTGTAGCCGTTCTCCTCGATTCGCTCTTTGAACTTGCAGTCGTCGCTGTAGTCTTTCTGAAACGAGAGGAGGTTTTGTCGTTGCTGTCGTAACAATCAAGTTTTGGTCGCTTTGTGCTCATTGGACGGCTTTACGTGCTGTGGCACACACACATATACACGTAGAAATGCGGTTCGTTTGTCCCGTTAAGGGGCCACGCTATGGCGAATAAAAGGGACCTCTGTTGAAAGCCATCAAGGAACGTCTAGGGCTGTTAGCAATCACTTGTTTGTTGGCCCAGCACACGAGGGGTGAGTGGTCAGCACCACGCCTGGCAGCCTTTTCACATCCACAGCCCTGAAAATGCAACAATGAGCACTAATTTCAGGCTGAATCAACCTTAAGGGGGAGGCCCACGTTGGCTGCTGACGCCATTCCAAGTGGTTGGGAAATTTTGGCCGGACGTTGGAATGGAGCCCACTTAATTTGTTGAACTTTTTTTTTAAAGTTAGGATAACAGGCAATAAATAAAGAAATATTTCGCAACCACGCATACCTATACGTATGCACGTTTTGTATGCACAGAGGGATTGTCAAACACCTTCGGAAACATGCGCAAGGCGCACAAAGCTTATGAATATAATCTCGTTTACGTGACATTTTTGTGCCGATCTTAAAATACAGCAAATAAATTTATGTTTTTGGACTTCCATCTCGGAAGCATCTAATATGGAAGCAATTTCACATTCATACTTTTCACATTGTATCGCATCTATTTCAGGAAATGTTTACATTACTGTACTGTTCGTGTGTAGATACTGTATACCAAAACAATCACAGATTACACTTCATCTGTTATGAAATACCCGTAATATGAGAAAGGCATGTTACAAAAATGATAATGCGAAAACTTTTTATCTTATCGCAAACCACCCCAGCAACCAGACTGCAAAATCTCAACAATCCTTGTACGGTTTGCGATACTTTTGAATTTTTCAATCATCGTAACAAGTGGTGTGACAGGGGCCTGCCAGGCCAAGGTGGGGTTAGGCCCTGCCTGCCGATGGCCCACCCTCGCGCAGCGGTGTGCGAGGGTGGGCCACGCGAGTGACCCGAGATTCAATGCGTGCTGCCTTGGCACGCTCATGTTCACCTTGTGGGCCTGTGCGGGTATTTAGGTGTTCACCTGCAATGTCTCGAAAGGTTCTGTGGGCTCTGCCACTACACATCGAGCTTTTAAGCTTATTTATTCAGACTTTGCTCCGTTTCCGTTCAATTCGGATTTCTTTAGAAGAGAGCTCACAGAAATGCAATTGAAACCACGCATAACCATGAATGTACAGTGTTTTGCACTCGGTTATTTTTAGGCAATGACAATATCACGAGTCGGGAACATCTGCTGTACTTTGTAGCCAATACTTTGCTTAGGAAATCAGTTTGCATAAACAACTGAGCCGCAGTGTGAAATGAACCCTCGACATCATTCAAACCGGCTAAGTAGTGGATGCGTTATCCGTCAGGCGAACCAGCCCCTCTGATTCTGTGTCGGCTATCCAGCCAGTGAGTTGCTTTGGTGGAGAATGAAAGCCGCCATTGCTGTTTAGCGTAATTTACTGTTGTTGTCAATAATGTTTCGCACAATTGCTCATAACCGCCTTAATACATGGCTTCATTGTAGTGCGGTGTTGTACAAGGTTACGTGGGGTATCTGGTGCACGTGATTTATAGAAGGGGTTGCACTGATTGGACTGCTTCTCGCTCTCCTGTTGCAGCGGCTTGCCCGGGGCCACAGCCTGCCCACCACATGTTCGCTCCACACCTGTGCGTCTTGTCGTGTCAGGACGTGGCAGTGTGTGCCAAGTGCTGTGCGTCAACTCGCCTGTGTGACGTTCATCTCTCAGGTGCCTGCTGCCGTGCCTCTGCGCTTTGTAACGTGACCTTTCGGTTTGTCTCACTTCCTGTGATCTATTCCGATGTGCCTGCTACGTGAAAGAGCTGTGCCACCTTTTGTGGCCTATCTTTTTCCACGGCTTAGCGGTGCTCTAGGTTGAAAGATGGCAACTCTCCATCATTTGCAGGTCGTAAAATGAAAGTGATGTATAGGGGTACCTTATCGTTGTTCAACGTTTTGCATGTGTGGCCCGGCGCATCAATGAATATGCTGGCATTGTGAATGTAATGTTTTTGTTTTTACTGTGGAAAAGAAAATACACCGTACATATAAATGGTAATGTAATTCGTGTAGGTTATTCAGACCGCCGGTAATATTTAACCCTCTTACCGTGCTATAGACTTTTCCTTTCTTGTTCATTGCCAAGAAATATCCGCTATGGACGCCCTTTAGCGCCACAACTCCTACTTCAACCGATGTGATTTCCATAATGCCTGCAAAACAAAAATGGAAAAATAGCAGCCATGTACGTTTTCATTGATATTTTTTCTCCTTATATAATAACCATCCTGCACCTTGATGCACGCGGAGAGCTTATTGCGTGGGACAATACACACATATAGAAGAAAAAAATGTTGACACAAAAAAATAAAATTGTTGGTCTTGGCCCCGAAACACTTGGCACAAAAATTATATTAAAGCGTATAACTTCACGAGCTCCTGCAGACAATTAGACAACTTCAGCCAAAGGATACATCTGCGGCTCATAATTATTTGCCGAACTCCTGCCATATGGAATGGGTGGGAGTGGCTGGGCCCTCCGTGGGTTCTGCTCTGGTTTCATTAACCTCGTGGCCTTGTTACCTGTGAACTGACAGCACCGCCAGGAGAGCCCTGCCTGAATGTTCTTGTGCAACAGGAAACGGATGTGGCCAACATGCTTGTTCATGCCCTTTTACCAACACTGTCCTCCTCTGATGAAGCAGTCAGTGGTGCTTTAAACGCTCCTCTACATATATTTAGAGGAAAGTAACGCCATTTGAGTGTCAGTCCTTTAAGAAGTACACGTGCCTTCATTCCTGAAGCATTTACCTGGGCGACCACCACATAATGGAGTGTGTGAGACAATTATAAACGATTAATAGCATGTACACATCCAATTAATTTCCACCAAAGCTTGATTAGGTGCTGTTTTGGTTGTTCATATACACACCAACAAGGTCAAGTATTTACGAGAGCACCTTGTAAAGAAAGCTTGGGAAGCTATGTGTGGAGCATTTGAGGCCTCGTACCCTCCATGTGAGTGTACTGGGCTCATCCCGTGCTCTCATTAGTCCTAATGATTTTCCTCTTTGAAATGCGATACGTGAATCAGCCTGGGGATAGGAGGCTTCCTGCTGAAACTTGGGGTTCCATTGACAACAAATGTATGGATTAAGAGCTCACATGCACATTCCATTTATGAGCAACTCTTGCGATGATTCATGATGCTTCAGGTGTTGGCTAACAGCTGCGTCCTGTTAGCGAACGTAGCGCCATCCCCATCTTCCGAGCATGTGTGGCCCTCTTGTTTATGAACGTACAAAAATTGTTTTCCTTTTTTTTGCTTGTGCGCACACACACATAACTTGAGCCAAGATGTGGAGTTAAAGTGTACCACCGAGCCCTGGCATGCATATGAAGCAGATTTCCGTTGCTCTTAATCCTAAGCAAAAATAGGGTCCACACAGATGCTCACGTGCGGAGAGTAAGAGAGGGGTGTGGGGGGGGGCGTTGCCTCCTAGATGTTTGTAACAGTCGACCACATCATTCTAACGTTCAGCACTGGTTCACACTTTGCACGTATTGTACGGAACGAGAGGTTATGTCTGGGAAAGCTGCTACGTGTATTTCTTTGGTTGTGTATACATTATTTGGTGTGGAGGTGCAAAAAAAAAACACTTTCCGTACAATTACCGTTCCAGTGCTCTATTTCTGCTGGTATGTGGACATAAGCAATTGCATTAATTCACAAAACCTACTTACTCTATTTTGGCATTTTCAACTGTAAAGTGTGAACGCTTGCTTCGATGGTGACACTTTTCATTCCCTGGGGTCGATCGTGTACCCCTTCAGTGAAGGGACGTTTTTTTTTGGTTTCAGCAAATGCAAAAAAAAACTATTTTCTTCCGTCTCCCTGTGAAGTAATCTAGAGTCGGGCGGGTCTTTGATCAGCGTATACACTATCATCACGAGGGCGGGGCCATCCCGTATTTCTGAGAGAGAGAGAGAGAGCGAGCGCGCGCGCCCGCGACATCTGAGAGGACGGACGTAACCGGATTCCCGTTTGCTTTCAGAAGCCGAACAAAACCAAAGGCGAAGCCTCCGAGAAGCTTAAAGGCCACTGCTCTCACTCAGTGTGTGTCGGTTTTCTTATTTTTTTCTTATTTTCATGAATATCTTGCCGCAGTGATTGGGACCTCCTCAATGCTGCGCTCATAAAATCAGAGCGCGGATGAGAGAGAGAAAAAAAATGTTGTGCCATTTGATTCATGTTAGCGCTGTGTGCCAGTGAAGTCGGTACTGCGGAGATGCTGGGATTGAAATCCTGGGTGGTCACCCAAGATTAAACCGGATTCTCAAGTGTAGCGAATTTGTGTCAGCCTGGTCACTAATGGGTACTTTGAAGAAATAAAAAAAGCAGACGGTTAAAAGTTTGATGTTGTACTCTCTCTCATTTAGTCCGTAGCGACTCTCATCTCAATGTTCGAGCAGATAATGCTCTGTTGCAGTTGTGTAAGTTAAGCCTTTAAATGGTGTTGTGTAGAGGACTGACATTAGTTACGCATAGTTCTGCAATGAAATGTGTGTTTCTGCTGTGGTATGCAGCTCCAGAATGAAATGCTAATGGCCTATAAACACAATAATATAAATAGAGACTAATTGGCATATAATTGGTTGCAAACATTGTTGAATACGTTTTATTGTGCTGAACGTTGGAGAAAAATGTTTATTGTATTGTGAGAACCGCACATACTCTGTTCATCATTTGTCGGCAAGTACAAATTAGTCACACATTCCACCAGATTGTCACTTTTTGGCCCGACTTTACAACAACAACAAAAAGAGAAATGCATCGTTACGTGTGACGATGTTCTCGTTTTGTTTCGGTGCTGCTTAAACTTCGTTTTGGGAAAACAAAACGCTCATAGAGAGAGGATTTGTAAAAAAAAACCTCACCCTTGAAGAGAGGTCACCGAATTGATGCGTTATCTTTGACCCCAAAAAAAAGAAAAAGGCAGCTTGTTTGGTCTTACTGGCCATGTGTTTGACATTCAATATATCATCACTATCTTCTAAAGATTTTTTTTTGTAAACGTACCTTCCGCTCATGAATAAATCCTCAATTGCGATGCCAATCACTTAGAATTTGGTTGCATGTGGATCACGACGTATCCAAAACAATTGATTCAAGGTGTGTGTTTTAACTGGCTGAATTTCACCAGCTTCCTCAATCTTTGCCTTAAAATCATTCCAAAGTGTTGGTACTGCTAAACACCAAAAATGCATGATAACCGCAAGTCTACAGAACAGACCCAGCTACCGTTAGAAATAATGAACATCCTGGACGAATGGGTTAGGCAGGTGTGTGTGTATGTTGATAACATTTTTATTGTATATAGTAAACCACCTTCTCATACTTGAAAGCTTGTCATGTAAAACACAAGCGATCTGAGTGTAGGACTGTAAGGAGTGGCGCGCCGGTTATTCATTCGGCGAGTGGAAAGTCACCTCACACTGGCTTAGAGTTCGTGCATGTGGTGATGTGTCGGGGTATTAAAGAGTATAGGTTTGCATAAGACATGGGCCTCCTGCGTAGTTCACACAGGTAGACCTGAAATTGCGTGTATTGTTTGTCCCCTGAAAGGCTGCTCTGTTAACACTCGGAGTGACCTTTGGCCCCACAGTTTCATTCTGTTCTTCAAATGAAAGGTGCAGAAAATCTTTTGAAGGTAGAATGATAAACAGTAGTTTAAAGTGTGATGGGGGAGGATTCTACACTGAGAAAACGTTTCATATTGGCTTTTGTTATTTGCTTTTTGGGAACAGACTAGAATTTGTTTTTCATTCTCTAAACGGTGTATGCATATCGTTTCATGCACGTAACTTGGTAGAGAATAAAATAAAGTTTTGCAATGAATGGGAATGATAACGTTTTGAGCAAACAGGTTTTCCTGGGAGACACCAATTTGTGTGATGTTTGTGTAGGTGTGTGTATATGGCAACAAATTGACTTGCATAAAGTACCGTATTATTCTGCAATTCATTGCCCATAACTGCTCAATTACTTGGTCACTCAATTTAAAGATAGTGCTAGCCTGAATGCGTTGTTGTCAAGGATGACAGGTTCTACAATTCCGTATTTTTGTTCATTGCCATATGATTTTTTTTATGTGTTTGACAAATGGCATTTATTATCTGGACATCTTAAGGTCGCAGGTCGGATTTGGTATCAAACAAAGTTAAACATTATTGAAAAGGGATAATACACCAAATGAAATTTGTATGCGAAGGTATAACTTTACACGGTTCATAAAACAAATTCCAGGCAGTTCTTTCAGGTGCTGTAGACAAAACATCAACTACACTCGACGGATCATTCACCCAACCAACTCTAGGTTGGTTGGGTAAAAAGCTGCTTTTTATTATTTTATTATTATTCAACTAGCAAACATGATTAAAGGAAGTTTTTCGCTGATCTTGCCAGAATTTCACAAAACATATGAAAGAAAGAAAAAAAGGGGTTGCAGGGGGTGCAGTTAGAGGCTGGGCAGGGACGGAATGATGGGGGGGGGGGATGGTGGGGGGGGTTTGGTGTGGAGAGAGATAAAAATCTTTTTTATTTCGAAAAATAGAGCCCGACCGTACCCCATTCAGCAAGCAGACACAAGGTGGGTGGGTTTCAACGGCTGGCCTGCCGAGACGCGTAATAGACGCGTGGGAACCCAAAACGTGCAACAGGTTTGCGTTTGCATTCTGGGCACACAATGCACCATTGTTGGTCACCTAGCAAGGGCCTATTGTAAGCCACGGTCACCCGTTGTTTAGGACAACACTGGTCCTCCCGCTTGAAATTGCCTCCTCGACAATACTCCTTTTCTCCGGTATATTTATTTTCTTAATTGTATGATTGCTTTGTTGCTATTATTTTGCAGGGTTTAATGGACTACTTTAAGTTCGTTCTCATGGGACTTAGCTTCCAATTGCAAATTCTTAGCATCTGTATAAAATAATTGAAAGCAATTTTATGGTCATTTGCACATAACAAATGAAAGCGTACAAAAATACATATTACATGTATAATTGCAGTGCGCCGTGTTTGGTTTGTGGAAAATAAAATTAGCTGGAAATTGCCACTTCAAACAAATGTCCATTGTGCAACGTTAACTATTTGCCCCTTGTACAGTAACGTGAATCCGCAGCGGTTTTCAATGCGGGAGGGTTTTTATTTTCATACATTTTTTTGTGAAATAGGAAGTATTGTGTGTCCATCGCATGACGTAGAAAACGAAGGTAATACACCGCTTGAAATTAACATGGGCAAGGAGTCGTTGGGTGTCTCGATTACACAATAAGTTGAAACTCAAAAGGTTTCGAGTATGGTCTCCTGCTAGGCACAGCACGCAGATTTGTGATGGATCCTGTCACACGTCTGAAAAACCGGATGCAAACCTGTCAGTGCCACGAGCTAGTGGCTGCTGAAAACATACGGCAGCTCGCACCGCTGAGCAAATACGAAGCTCCCGTGCGTGTCATTGGAAAGCGGGAAATATTTGACGAAACTAATTTTGACATTTTCATTCTTTACTGTCCCTAAAATGACTCCTTACTTAACTGCCGTTGTCACAGAAATGCTCTTGTTTGGGGATTCTGGACTGCTGGTAAGCTAACTTACTCAGTGGCTGGCCTCTTTATCAACTGCTCTCATCTAAAGCCAACAGCCGGGAATTCCTGCTTATGGGGGCCTTAAAGTTTGTTGGTTTTAAGGGTTAACTGCAGCCAGTGGTGATGCTTGCAAGTCTGGTTTCTGTCAGCGCTGCCATTTGATCGCTCGTGCATCTGCACCGTTACTTACTCGCTAAAAAACACCAATGGCTGATAGATACATTGCAAGCTACCGAGCAATTCGTTTGAATTTGAGCAAATACACGTGCAAGGTGGGCGTCATATTTAATCAGCGGTGAAGGGCAACGTTCGGATTTTATTGAATGGGATGCAGAGGGATGTTAAGGATAACAGAGGCTCAAAACTGAATGCACTGGCTCAAGATGTGTTAAAGGGCTTTAGAGGGCATAGCAGATGACAGACACGGTTCCTTTGAGGAAACCCGTACGTGAAGATATGGGTCTATCTGTGGTGTGGTGAGTCAACATAAGGTCAGCGGGTTAAGTGGTATCTGATGAAGATTTTCTTGCATTTAGAACGTCCTTGGCCATTTTATTACTATGCAAAATAAAGTTGTATTTTCTCTTGCGTCAGGAATTAAACTTTTAAATAGATTTGGTTTTGTTTTCCTTTCTCCTCCACCCTCGATTTAATACCAGAATTACATTGTGATTATTCTGAGGTTTTGACATTTTTTTCACAGTCTTTCATAACGGGGACTGATATGGATTTCCTCACGTTATAAAATTATCCCGAGTCTTTTTTTAACTTTGATGTTTGATTCATGGCTCCATGGTCATAGTGGGGAAATTTACGTTACGTAACAGTGCCAGAGCATTTGATACAATTAAGTGGTCCTTCGGTGTGGTTAATATTAACAAAAATAGCCATGTTATGGCGTAACATTTCTTCTGATTGGTAAATACCATACATTTTACTTTAAATATAGTACCTGCCTTAATTTGTACCCTGTAAGATGTGACCGCCTTTGTTGCACACACCGGATCAAGGGATAGTTTCATTAAAAGGAAAACAAGGACGCAATTAAAAGAAAAATGTTTGCCATTATAACCGCAGAAGTCGACCTGACAGGCGGTTTGCGTTGTTCGCTGGATATTCAGTAGGATGAACACGTTCGCGAGACGAAAAAAAAAACATTCATCATTTGTGCTGTGGGGATTTTTTTTCTTTCTCCTGCCGCCGGGTGTCATTCGTTAGTGGCTGCGGCACGAGTCTCCTCTCAGGAAATCCTAATGACCTCCGTGCTGGGAAAAAAAAATTGCTCTCTGATCTCTCCTGCGAAATGAAAGACTTCCTGAATTAACCGAGACCCTTGTTAACCTAATGACAGCGCTGCACTCTCTGCTTGAACTGGAGAGTTGTAATTGCTTCAACTATGATTTTCCCTCGCATCAAGCACAAATAACACGAGTGTGTGTGTGTGTGCACGCTTGTCTATACTGTATTATATACACAGTACACAGGTATGTCAATATATGGACCTTTTATATACGTACGCATACGACAGTCTCGTCTGAGTGCTTGAGCAGGGCTGCTGAGGAATTGTTCAAATTAAACTTTGGTGCGGCTTTGGGTGTTACGAACGTTCCACGGCAAGACATCGCAATGCTCCATCGCTGTCGGATGTTTGGACTCTCCGAACGCTATTGGATTGCTCGTCACGCGAACTGCATCAAAGAAAACAACTGCCTTAAAACCCTTAACTTTGGCTCGCCCGTCACGCAGTTGGCCAAAGGGCACCGTATAATGTTCTATTTTAGAGTATAGGATCAAATATAATTGCATTCTGTGTTTCAATATTTTCATTGTCGCGGAGCATAAAAACTCGTCACGCCCTGTGAACTGATTTGTTACTTATTAGTGGTAAAGCGGTTGTCAGGGACGTCATTAACTTTTCAGTGAATCATGGCTAAACCAGTCAACCGCAGACGGTCGGGTTCGCAGTCTTCGTTGCTCAGAGTGCAGGGCATTAGTACGTCGAGTGTTTTGCTAACGTCTTGACCAAGCCAGATCTGTTATCAGTGTCTGTCGTACATTTCTAAATGACTGCAAATGTTGGTGCCCTACATGGGTAAGTATACTGCGTGCAGATAATGCTCAGACCTTAAGTAACTGAATTGGAAATGTAAATACAAATATATAAACCAGCTTGTGCATGTGCACAGTGTACTGGGTATGTAATGCGTGGGGCGGTAGCGTAGCGGTTAGCGCTACGCTGCGCTACGAACCCGGCGGCCCGAGTTCAATTCCCGCTCACGGCCAACACCAGTGACGATGATCTGAATCGGTCCTGGGCGTCCCCTAGGTCAACTCAGCCTCAAATGAGTACCTGGCGCGGTGTGTAAACATCGCCGCCAGGGAGACAAAGGCGGCTGGGCGTGGTGTTGGCCACCTTTGCCCTCGTGTGCCGTGCCGGCCTTCATAGGTGCTCGTTAACAGCACTTGCCCCAACAGTCTGTTCAGACTATACGGGGGATCTTTGTCTTTGTGTATGTAATGCATAGTTGCTATTGCATATGTATATCGTATGAACAACCCGTTTAGTAGCATGTTTATATTTAAATATGTGTGTGTAGAACGTACTACCGTGCGTGCGTAATCTGCATACTTATTTTCGGCAAAGGAATACATTGTAAAGCGTGACATAATTGCATATGAAGGTTGCTCAGTGAGCAAGAAAAATAAAATCCAGTTTTGATTACAGTATTTTGACAACCTGTGTACGGTGGCTAATGCGGCAACAATTTGGCTTGCCGTATAATTATAGAATTTAACATTTCAAAAACAGAAAGTGCAATATGTGCACACACATAGTTCCAGAATTATCACTGACGTGATGCACGGGTACTTACTGAACGGGCAGTTCTTCTTGCGAGTGCCGCTGACTTTGCCACCCTTTTCGATTTTAAGGAAGAATTTCGTGGCCGAGAAGAGACGACGCCACCTGACGTCTCCCTCCAGGTGCTTGTAACTACGCGCGTGCCGCTCCAGGCTGGAAGAAGAAGACGACGAAGACGAAGACACCGACGAAGACAACGACGACGATCCAAAGAGAGACGAGCAGTTGGAAGAGTTTCTGAGACCCGGCCGGGAGTCCTGGAGAGTCAGAGACCCCTCCTGGGGGTGCGTTTCAGCCAGGCTGATCAAGCAGAGCAGGGCAAGGAAACGGCAGCCCCAGGAGGAGAGTGGAGCTTGCAGCAGCAGCAGCAGCCTCCGCTGCCTCAGAATCCATCTCCACATGGTAGTGTCGAAGTGCTGCCGACTTGGGCAATTCGCAGGAAAATCATAGCTGGATCTTAAGTCAAGATGCTTTCTGCTAGTCCTGCTGCTCCCCGCGGCACTCAGTTTTATGACAAACCCCGGGCGGAGTTGCGGACTCGTTTGCGTGTCGCTCAATCCGGGGGCACCCCTTCAAGTGCTTTACCTGCTGCGAACTGCGGGCAGCCTTTTTATCTGAAGATCGCTGCGATGTGCAACATCACTGTGGTTCCTCTGGCTCCGAGTGCTGAAATGTTGCCAAACCAGCCACAAGCCCACTGAGTCACTTTTGCGACGAACTACCTTTGAAGAGCCTCCGTTCGTCACACAGTGTTGGTGGGAGGTGAAACGTTTTTTTTCCTCTCTCTCTCTCTCTTGCTGCTCCCCTTCTATTTTAAATCCCGCCTTTTTTTTTTTGCAGTGTTCCGAGCCGCTGTGATGGTAGCTAATGCCAACGCGTGGGGCCGGTGCTGCACGTAACTTGGGAGGAGCTCTTTGAACAATCTTCCCCAAGTGGAGAGCGGTCACCTAGCTGTCAGCAAGGCTCTCGAAAGCTTGCTCAGACATTTGTAGTTGATTAGTCTATTTATACACTGTACGCCGGTGTTGCCGCCGCTGCTCTTAAGCTGCTGAAGGGGTTTTTTTTTTTGGTATTTCGTCAGCGCCTAGGTTATGAATGGGTAATCGACAACTGAATAGTTTTAAACGTGATCTCCAGACATTCGCTCGCTCTTCTTTCCTCCTCCGAATTCACGCTCGTGATCGAAGATAATGGTTGATTTTTGTTCCCCCCCCCCCCCGCCGATCGATTATCTTGTCTTGAAACTTGGCTCGGTGTTTAATTTTGCCTGTTGTAATTAATGTTCCACTTGCATCCTCCTCCAGACCGATCCTTCCTTTATCTGCAGCCTTGTTCCCCTCCTCGGAATGGGCGTCTGTTATTCCCCCCGGTCTCCCACAGGAGCCTTGGACACTCCTGATGTGTGCCCCAGTGACGTACTTGTGTGTCCGGCCTCTTGACAGACAGCTTAAACCCCCCCCCACCACCACAAGTCACAAATCCTCTGTTCAGGGCACAAGTCAAACAGAGAGGAAGATAAGGTTAACTTCGCCTGACAAACACTCGCTAAACAAATTTCCTCCCACCCGACTCTGATCCCGATGTTTAAACGCAGAAAGGCTGCACCGGTTTTCAGGGGCTGAGCTCAGTGCCTGCAGACTGCGGAGGAAATGATTATCAAATTAAACAAGAAGTAATCGTTACCATTGGTCAAGTTGCTCGTGTAAATGCATCCAGTCAACATGTTATAATTGCGGTTATAATTTATGGGACCTTTGTGCTTGCGCGGGTTTTGTTTTTACTTTCTATTTGTTTCAAAACACGGCCCGGCCGACTCAAATTCGGCGAGCACTCAACTTGTTTACGCTTGAGGAAGCGTGCTCAACATTTAGGTTCGTGATAGGTTCTTTTAGAAACAACTCGAGCACGCAAGTTTTATTGCGATGCTGCACGCGTTCCCTTCTGCAGAGCCCCATGGATATTTCACGGGCGCAATCTTGCATCAACGCAAAGCCAACGCCGCTTCTGTTTCAGGCTCTTAATTGTTTTAATTTGCATTAAAGAAAGGAAATATCGTGCCTGAAATCCAAAATTATCTTAAGCTAAATTATACGCGATATAAAACACATGCTGGCTGTGATATTTTAAACGGCTTTAAAGTTCCTTTTACGACCAGTATTCTTTGGAGTATTCAGTGACACTGGGATAGTTTTTCAAAACCTAACCACAAAAGAGCAAAAGCCGGATGGATTTTACCTTCAAAGTCACAACAAATACCGAAACCACGGATGCTGCAGTCACCTTTCATTGACTGAATCGCGCACGGGGCATTTCTCTCATTCCTGCTCGCAGCTTCGGCAGCTGCACAACGCGTCGGAGGCCCCTTTCCGACGGCTGTGCTCCCAGTCCGACAATTTGTCGCGGCACCGACAAAGCAGCGGCGAATGCGGGCGTACAAACAGTTTGCACGAGTAGTTGTTAGAGACCACGGAGGACACTCCCCAACCCTGGGACGATAGTGATCCCACGGCTCAGATGTACCTTTTTTTCACCCTCTCTCTCTCCCCTTTAACCAGTAACTCTATCTTTTCCCCACCGCGCCTCCTGTGCCCCCCCCCCCCCCGAGATTTCCCTCATTAAAATAAAACTGTATGAATCGAGATTCTATCTCTGTAATGAGCTCTGAGGGATGCCGGCACACATCAAAAGGAAGGAAGGGTGGGGGGGAGTTGAAATGGAGCCTTCTAGTTAGGGCAAACAATTGGGCCGTAATAGCCCCGCATTATTAATTGTTTAAGTCAGTGGGAGGGGACTCAGGAGGACCACAGGCCCGCGGAGCCGAATACTTACGATGGCCGTCTTTTACCGATGGTAGCCTTCACGGGCCTCGATGGAAACTGACTCTCGATGACCTCGGCTGTTGCGGTGGCACAGACATTGCCTAATGTTGTGTTTCCCCACTGGGTGTTGTTGTCGATAAGGTGCTCACCGAAGTCATCGTCGCTATTGGTGTCGGTGAATTTGTCGCCACCGGCGTATGCATTCTCCTCCCGTAGCGTCACGCTACAACCGATACCATTAATTACCACGTTTATACCTTAAACTCAAACTGTGTCAGCAGCTGATGACCAACTTGCCCAGAATGCACCCAATGTCATCGCATCTCAGAAGCTAAGCAGGTTTGAGCATGGTCAGTGCTTGGATGGGTGACCACCATACACGGCAGGCTAGTTACAGGCTCTGGAGCCACGTGGTAGGTAGGAGAGAGTGGTGCAGCACAATTCATTGTTGGACTGTGCTTCTATGCCCTGGCATATAGCTGCCCGCTCTCACCAACCCTCAATAATCAAACATGACGGGCAGGTCTGCGATATGTTTGTCCTGGACTCAAAGTGTCAACTATAATTTGGTCCTGCTCTTTTGACTGTCCTCCTCTCTGTGTCGGGCTCATGAGCAGTAGGCCATTATTTGTTGCTGAGTAATTGGGCCACGACAGTCCTGCTCTCATTGCAGTGAGCTGTGGGGTAAGGCTTGATCTGTGTTGCTACGTGCCCCTGGGAGAGCTGGGACTGATGCCATTGCGTACCTGGTGTAACGGATAACCCAAGTCTGTTGACAGACATCACCACTATGGCACTTCTCTCTCCGTTATCGACAGCAGCCAACGCCCGGGGGATGCGGTACGTGATGAGTGTTTGAGAGACATTAGTCTCGATCAGAGCATTGCACAACTATAAATACACCAGGGTCTGTTTTGCTGCGTAAAAATAAAATCTGGTGACATTTCATCCCATCAGCCTACGGGCCTCATAGGCAAATGTTTTCGAAGAGCATTTCTTTCAGCGGGAAAATCCCTCTTCAATATATCGTGGCTCGTTAACGTTGTATACGAAGCTGCATAGTTGGTTAAGAGTTGTTTATTACTGCGAGAAAACAAAAGAGTAGCTTTGACCGTATCCCACCGATGTAATAGGTCAGCTCCCGTGTACTCTTAAAGTCATAATAAAACCATCCATCCGGTGCTGGAGGTCCACATCCACGTGGTGGGCCTGCCCTCTCTGGGCTCAGCCCTAATCCCTGACTTCCTGACCACACCTGCTGGCCCTGTGCACTAGGGGGGTCAGGGCCCAGCTGGATCACGCCAGGTCTCTTGTCCCTCAATGTTTGGCCACTTCCTCTCGCGGAAACATTCTCCGTTGATTCCGATCGCTTCACTAGCAGCTATACTAGCAATTGGTTTCGAGCACATTCTGTAAATGTATCTGAACAAATTTTAAAATCTGAAAGTTGCAATGGTTTAAACATGTGTAATGCTAAGAAATAGTGACTGTATTTGAGATACTTACGTCCCAAAGCAGATTATTGGGTGATGTAAATTTGGTACAGGTCAGGTGTTTTTTCTTTTAAACAAGGGTTTGCAAAGCCTCTAACTGCCTGCAGCTCTCAGTATGTCACACTTAGTACAAGGCATTTGGCTTAAAGCCAGCTGGTTCCATTTGTGGAATGTCACGAAAATTTTTACTAATTCCAAATCCAGAAAGCTGTTTTCACACATTACTGTCACCTCCAATTTGTCCATTTCGAAACACCTGGCAGAATGAGCCGTGAACCTGCTTCAGTGAGCGCTGTAAACCTTTTTGAGAAGAATATAGGCAACACAACAAGGGGGCTGACGAAAAAAAACTTTTAACGCACAAGGAGTGATGTTAATTCCTTTCATTATTATAAGTTGCATGTTGTAACAAAATGTGTTTTAACTGCCAAGTGTTGTAAAAGTCAGGATGGGATTACTTTCGAAAGAGCTCTGTGGCTCATAACCAACACTCCCTCTAGCTGTGGCTTGTTAATTTGATGCCAATTTTTTTTACGAAGACCATAAAAGTGTAAAACATATTTTACACAATATATGCTTGAGCAGGGTATTTGACAAATTTTACATGGTAACAGATGCGACATTGGTTCTCATTTTGCAGCGATGCCGAGCACCGTTCGTAGAAGAAGAAAAAAATAAGTAATATTTAAACAAAAACATTTTTAAAAACACGCTTGTATGAAATGTACTAGTAATGGCAAAACTCCACGACTTCAGGAAGTGGCCCCGAAGCTTGCCATGACGTAAGGGGACCGTGGCCAATTACAGCCAACGTCAGTTGAGCGTGGACAATTAGACCCAAGCCGAAACATAAGATATAAAAAAGCTTGTTTAAAAATATATATTTTTACAATTTTTATGATAGAATATAATATTGTCATCAGTATGACATAAGTATACCAAGTTTGCAGTCGATACCGCATTGGCAAGTGGGTTAAAATTGAGTTACAAGATTTGAGGATACAACAACGACGACAACAACAACAACAACAGACAGAGTGAGTTAAAAGAAAGCGTGTAATAATAATAATAAACCCCCGCTGCCTTCTCTTCACAAAGGCCGCACGTTTCTT